ACTCCCTTCATTTCATGGCCTAAGAGGCGAGGATGCAAATAAACATCTTGCAGAGTTTCATATAGTTTGCACTAGTATGAAACCGAATAATGTTACAGAAGAACAAATCAAGCTGAGAGCCTTTCCATTCTCACTGAAGGACACGGCTAAGGATTGACTATTCTATCTTCCTTCGGGAAGCATAGATACATGGGCGGCAATGAAGAAATGCTTCCTAGAAAGGTACTATCCCGCCCCTATCTCATCATCTTTGAAAAAACAAATAAACAACATGGATAAAAAAGATGATGAATCCTTGTATGAGTATTGAGAACGGTTCAAAAAGTTGTGTGCTAGTTGCCCATACCATGGATACACGGAGCAAGACCTCATCCTCTACTTCTATGATGGTCTTGCGGATCAAGATAGATGCATGGTGAATGCCGCTTGTGGGGGCAGCATTGTCAACAAAACTCCCTCACAAGCAACAAGCTTGATCTCGGAGTTGGCCGAAAACTCTAGGCATTACAACGGGCGGTCCTCAACCCGTAAAGTTGCCGCGGCAGAATCATCTACATCGTTAGAAAGTCAAATGGCCGGCTTGACTTCTTTGATTAAGGATTTCCTTTTGAATCCTAGAAACCAAGAAGTCAAGGTCTGCGGCATATGCACACAGCAAGGGCATCCAACCGATTCTTGCCCAACTCTCCAAGAAGAACAAGTCAATGCCTTGGGTTTTCAGTCTAATCAACAAAAGAGGTACGATCCACACTCTAACACTTACAACCCCGGGTGGAGAGATCACCCGAATTTGAGATATGGGAACCCTTCAACCACAACAAAATCAGCCCTCCCAACAATCCTTCCCAAATCACCAAGGCTGAACCTCAAGCTCAAATATGTCTACCAAAGACATGATCCGAGCACTTGCTACAAATATGTCAACGATGCAACAAAGTGTGGCTCAGTTCCAAGAAACGACGAAATATAGCATCCAAAACTTGGAAAATCAAATGAGCCAAATCTCAATTGCGATGAGCCGACTTGAATATTTTCGTATGGAGCTACTAATTCCCAAGGAAAGTTGGCAAAGTTTTAAGGGATGGAGGGAGTATGAATTAGCAATATAATATTATTCTAAAAAAATAATTTCATACATACTATTGTAATATTAAGAAAATCCCTTGTGACTCATGTAGACATGTAGTTAATCAATGTTAAAGTTATTTTAAAAGTATTGGTGAATGTGTACCTTATAAACTCTTTATCTTGAAATAAAATATTATATATCCTTTTTAATTTTCAAATTATTTCCTTTGATTTGCTATTTCTTACGCTTTAATGTAACAATACTTTTTTGTGGAGCACTCCAATTATAAAACTAAAGTTATTTTGTGATTGTCTAAACTTAGAATGTAATATATAGATTTAAATATCATCGTGTATGTATTAATGAATTTTCTTGAATAAATATAGCCGCAGAGGCTTACATTAGTGAAAAAATTTCACCCCGCTACACTAGCAAAAAAATCAGCCCGTACACTAGTGATTTTTTTTACCTCTTGCACTAATGAAAATTTGCGCCCCCCTTGACTCGAAATTCGGGATCCGTCCTGTTTGGAACTATGCTTGAGGACCGGTGGCAGAGCACTCCATGTTGAGTAAAATTCGGGATCCGTCCTGTTTGGAATTTGGTTTGGATCTCATCTGAGCAAAATAAAAATAAGCAATAAGAACGTTGCTCTTTTTAAGATTAATTTTGCAAACACTCCTGTAATATATTGAAACCTAAATTAATAACTTAATTAAAATGCTGGCTAAAATATAATCCGATAAATTTAATCTAATAAAACCAAATAAGATAAAATTTATTCAAGAATAACGTAATGACATAAAATTAAATTAAATTCGCCCATCATTATTTGCAACTACCGAACAACAACTTAATTTATAAAATACAATTCATTAACGCACAACACCAATGATAAACACACAACAATAAAAACGTGGTATATGAAATTAGGGAATTAGGGAATAACCATCCTATGATACCTCTTTCAGAATTAGGGATTTTGACTACCTTATAAAAAAAATTGTATTCGGAACATGGAGTTAGGACTAAACTCTTTTGGGGGAATTTCAAGTAAGCCCTAATTCAGTCGGAAAGGGGAGTTCCTAATCCCTTGATTAAAGAAAACCTAAAATAATTCCCATAGGCACTTCAATGTCAACGAAGTCCGTATTTTAGGAAAAGACCCTCCCACCCTTTTGTAGTTTTGTCCAATCACAGACCCGTTTCGTGAAAACCGAAATATGAATGCTGCCACACCCTACGCCATCACTGTACGGGTCAGAAGCCATACCAGACATTAATCGATGCTAAGCTACAATAGGAATAAGTGAATTTTTTGTACACTACACTACGTCATGCATGCAATGGGCAAGGAGTCCCAATACACATGCCCATACTTTCACAACATTAATGTGAACTTTTATGCTAGCTTGGTTGTGCATGCTAGACGGCTGCATAGGGGCGGAGGTAAAACACTAGGCCTTATTGGGCGATACAAAGAATTTATTGGAAAAATTTTTAACTAAATTTTTTACATTAAAAATTTAAACATTTTTTAAATTTGAACTCGGTCAAAGCCAAGGTTGGCTCTCCCCTTTCTCCGCCCTGCTGTTAGTAATGTAGCTATCTATATATAGGGGCCAAAACTACTCTACTCTTCAACTAGTAGACTGCTAGCAGGGGTGGATCTAGAAAATCGGAGTCATTGGGTCCCAACCTTAATATAACTCTAATCAATAAAAAATCAAAAAAAAATGTAAGTATATAATATTAAAGTAGCATAACATTTCATAGTTAATGTACATCATCAATATATTTAGGAATTTTATCAATTCAGGACCTTAAAGATAGATAAATTATAAATTCGGTACCCGAAAGATGAAATGTATTAATATAGGACCCGAAAGATGAAAATTGTCAATCTAGGATCTAAGATTTCATAGATTTTGATTGATTTATTTTTTATTAATTCCTTTGCTAATTTTTTATAAACTTTTTTCCACAGAAGTTTATTAGTTTAATAAAACTAAATAATATTTAAAAATTTTAACATAAAAATATTAAAAATTCATGACAATACCGGTCCGAGATTGATAGTGTTCAGTCATTCAAATCCTAAATTGACAATTTTCATCATTTGAGTCTTATATCTATAAATTTCATCTTTCAGGTTTCGGATTGATAATTCATCTACCTTTCAAGTTTTGAATTGATAAAATTCCAAATATTAAAGTAGTACAACGTTTCATAGTCCCTACTACAGCGCACCTCGTCTTGACATTAGGATGCAAATCAGCAATTTCTTTTCTCAAACCAGGATAAGCTTCTAAAGATTCAAAATAAACATGTTGATCACGTGTATTGTCAGCCAAATTAATTTCATATTCACCAATTATTTTATTCAATTCTTCACTTAATAATGGAAAATCATAATAGAAATTTTAATAATTAATTGAATTATGTAAAGTGTAAAGTTGGGGATTTTTTAAAAAAAGGCAAAAGGATATAGTTGTGATCTTTTACAATAATAAACCAAAAAAGAGGGAATAGGAGGGTGTGGGAATTGATCCTTGCACCTGCAGGATAAGGAAAGGTTTTTGAAGCCTTTCCTCCGTTGCTCTGCTCCATTCTTTGAAACTCATACTTGTTTTTGTGTTATATATACAGTTACAAGTAAATTTTAAATAAAATATATAGGTATTTTTCTGGAAGTATGCGGGGTCCCGGGACCCCGTGGGACCCTTAGTGGGTCCGCCATTGACTGCTAGTAACCTCGTAGCACTTGTGCACTTGCTTTAACGTTGGCTGCCAAAAAAACTATAGAAATTGCTCTAAATAGGAGCAATAATATTTTAAAATTTTAAAGTAGGAGTATCATGTTTTTGTTCCCTGAATATGAGTAATCTGCCAAATTTGGAAAAAAATGTCATGTTTCAAAGCCTAGTAATGTCAAACTTGGCAGAAACTTACTCATATTCAAGGAATAAAAAACACGATAGTTCTATTTTGGAATTTCAAAACTTTTTTACTCCTAGTTAGGGAATTTTCTCAAAAAACTAAATTGAACATAATAATTTTCACTTTGGTAAACCGAACCGAACCAAACCAAAACCAAACTGAAACACAAGTGGTTTTAATTTGGTACAAATTTTCCCACACCGAAACCGAAACTGAAGAAAATCGAACCATAAATCGAATTGTCTATCCCTATTCCAAACCAAAAATAAAAGAAGGGTTGGGCGGCATGGATATTCAAGGGAAATCAGTTGGGTAGGGCAAATATAAAAATCCCATTTGTTTTATTAATTGATGTAACTTATTTATTTGTATTCTAATTTTTACAAAAAAAAATATTAAAATTCATATTTTTTGTGATTTTTCATGACAACAATGTTGCATGTATAATTGTTTTTTTAAATTGAAGTTTCAACGATAGAAGGATTTGAGTTTCAATGTTTTTATAAATAGATCTAAGTGCTAAAATCAAAATCTCATTTTTAAATTAATTGAAACATGTACAGAAGTTGTTTCAATAATGAAATCTTAATTTTAACACTTGAATTTTTCTAATAAAAAGTTTGGGTCTACAAACCTTTTACGTACAAATGAAATTTTCAAGAAACAAATTAAATGTCATAAGAAATATCATACTCCTTCCGTCCCTGTATTTTCTCTCATTTCAGCTGGGCACACTAATTAAGATAGTGAGTTTTGTGTGGTGGAGAGTTGTGCAGAGGAGAGAAAAATGTGTAAGAATGTGTAAAAATGATTGTGAACCACAAATTCTTTGCCAAAAAGGGAAGGAAGAGATAATTTTGGGACGGACGAAAAAGGAAAGTTTGAAGATAATTAAGAATATTCATATACTTTTTGTAAAGTTTCAAATACTATACAAACCAAAAAGTTACGTCACATAATAAATACACCCAATCTATCTACCCCATCATTCCAATTTGAATTTAGAAATGCCCTTTCCGAATCCCATATAATAAAGCCCCAGTAAACTCTCGTTATTTTGCCTTCAATCTACCTACAGCCTACTGAGCTTGCTCTTAAACTTATTTTCTCCTGATCTTAGATTGCTTCAACGATGGCCGCCAAAAAAACTATTCTGCTCTTCACTTTGCTGACTTTTGTCATCACCGTTGTCAACTCCCAGTCCGTCCAAATGAAATACGTGAATGGGTCCTTGGAAAGAGGGGCTGGTTTGTTCTAACCCATTATTATATCATATTTATCATCTAGATTTTATACAATAGTATATATGAATCATGAATTTGAAGTTTGATTTCAGTTCCTTAATATTGTGAAAAAAAATCAGTTTTGTGTATGTATGTTTGGATTTGCAGTGTGCCTAGATGGGAGTTCATGTGTCTACTACCTTCACAAAGGGGTAGGACATGGACGTAACAATTGGCTGCTTCACCTTGAAGTAAGTCTATCTTGTCAATCCATTCGGATATTAAATGAAAATGATGAACATGAAATTAAGTTACACTAAAATTTGTTACATATATCCCTAATATATAGAATGCCGCATATAATTAATTTGTGATCGAATGGGGTATTTAATTTGCGTGTGATTGTGATATTATATCCCTAGCTATCTCATTTTTTTGCATACGAAAATACTATCATATCACCACTCAAGGGGGGAGGATGGTGCTTTAATAAGACCGACTGCAAGGATCGCGCCAGCAGATCATACCTGGGATCTTCCAATCTTATGAACAAATATGCCAACTTCACTGGCTTTCTTTCTAATGACTCAGGAATTAATCCCGGTAAATCATTACTTTTTAATTCTATTTACTTGATTATTTTGATTTTGTAAAGGGTCTGTCTCGGTTCGTAATATAATACTCCTTATATATATGGCTTAACTGAAAAGAAAAAAAAAACTTTCTTAGCTCTGAATTTGTTGAACTTAATTAATTTGCTCGTGCTATTGTGTACAGAATTCCACAGCTGGAATAGGGTCTATATTCCGTATTGTGACGGTTCTTCATTTACCGGAAATGTTGAAGCTGTGGATCCCGTAAGTATAATTCGAATTAAACTTCAGCATTTCATTCCACACACCCAATAGTGTTTAATAGCTTCTCACAGATTTTGTACTTTCTACAGGTTACAAATGTAACCTACCGTGGATTACGAATTTTTGAAGCCACGATGGATGATTTGCTCTCTCAGGGAATGAAGGATGCTCAAGATGTAATTAAGATACTACGTACTATATTTGAGTATTCAGATCGATGATTATATCATTTATATCTACAGTAGTTTTGCCAAACAAAGTACTTCATTATATTATTTCTAACATAGCATGTGTTAATGTTGCAAAAAAAACATAGCATGTGTTAATTGATATGCTGTGAAACCAAAAGAGCATAATTAATGTTTGGTAATAAAGGAGCGAATGAAATGTAATAATAATAAGAAAAATCAAATTACAGGCAATTCTTAGCGGTGTTTCGGCGGGCGGATTGGCTACAATGATTCATTGTGACCGGTTTCGAGACCTTCTTCCGATGACAGCCCGAGTCAAATGTCTTGCAATTGCATCTTACTTTGTGCATGAGTAAGTTCTATTCAAATGCTTAATAAAAATTAACATATACAGATATATATATATATATATATATATATACTACATATTATTATGTTTAATTATATATTTATATGCGTAGTATATATCTATCTATTTATTATATATAGTTTTAATTTGTTGAAGTGATCTGAGTATCTAAACGAAAGTGAAACAATTTGATATATACATTTCAACAGGGTGCATCTAAACGGAAGCAAACAGTTCGAATCCATTTTTGACGCGCTCATCAGTTTACATGTATTTTCGATTTCCTCATAAGTAATTCGTTATATATATATACTACCTTCATTCTTTTTAAATGCATCGTTAGACTTTTTATACTATTCACATGTTCTATTTTCACTTTATTTTATTTATAAATGTATTATAAACTAAATCAAAAAAATATTGTTAAATTCCTCTCACTTAAAATTTTTATAATCTAATTTTTTAATTTTTTTACTAATACGGAATTAAAGATATTAATGGTGAAACTTGTGTGTTAGCAAACGTGAATATTTTTTAAAATTATTCACTTTTGAAAATTGTACAGGGATCGTCAAAAGGGCTACCTTCACGGTGCACTTCAAGAATGAGTCCCAGTTTGGTGAGTTACTCTTTTTCAATAATAAATTATTTATAGGAGAATGAGGACGGTATCATTCTAAATAGATCGATATTTTCTCAAAAATATTAATTAAATTAATTTATTTAAATAAAAATTATGATAAATACTTCCTCCGTTCTTAAATAAGTGCAACAGTCAACATTTCACACTTGCCGACACACAACTTTGACCATTAATATATATAATTTTCTATTAGTAAAAAATTAAAAAAATTAGTTTTTAAAAATTTACAATGAGACAAATTTAAGAATATATTTTTCAAAAAAATATATTAATACATCAATAAATAAAATGTAGTCAAAGTAGAACATGTAAATAGTGTAAAATTTTACATGTTGCACATATTTAAGAACGGAGGTAGTAGTAATTATATTATTATGTATGTTGAACATAAAGTACTATGACTAAATGGTTGCTATAGTCACTAGCTACACATAATAGTTGTAATTATTTCAAATAAATAATGCACAACTTATTACTGATTCAATTCCATTTTATGCCTCTAGTGCTTCTTTCCCCAATACTTCTTGCCGACCATTGAGACGCCTGTATTCATAACCATGTCCGCATTCGATCATATTCAAGTACGTGGACGCTTGAATTAATTAATTACTACTAATAAATTAAATAATAATGATAATAGCAACTCTCACTAATTAATATTGTCAATGATGCTTCGGTTTTTATATACAACAGGTAAGACTGAACTTGTTTCCAACGGATGAGGTCTGCCTTCTACACGATAATTGCACTTTTGAACGGCTCAAAGCAATGCAAGGTAAGCCTCCAATTCAAGTATCTTTTGTGTGTGTAGCTAGGTAATAATAAAAGAACAAATTTGTACTACGTATATATTTTTTTTTTATATACTCCGTATTTTGTAATTATATTCAACTAAAAGAGAATTAAAAATCCAATTTGGAGTAGGCGGAATCCAAACAACTATAAAAAAGAACATTATGAAAGTCATTCAAAATATATACCTATGGTACTTAACACATGGCAGATTTTGAACATTAATTTTGAAAGTTCAAATTTATTTGATAAGTTTTGGGTGTTTATTAGATATATAAATTTTAACACTAACACTCATATACAAGTATCTTTAAACTAATGAGTAGTTAAATTTTTGGGTGTTCACGTGAACACTTTTGAACAACTATATATAGATTCGTTTTGAACAACTATATATAGATTCGTCCCTACCCTAACCTAAGAATCTAGCATATGGAGTTCAATTAATGCCATAGTCCATAGAGGGGGTGAAAACCTTATTTCTGTCCATTATCAAGTGATGCAAGTTAATTTGATAAGAATATTGCCGCATGGATAGCTCAACATATATATAGCAGAAAAAAAGAATAACTCCCAGCACCATTCAAACTAGATTAAACCTCATCATTGCAAACACATATATGGTACATAAGTTGAGTTAAGCAGATCGTGGAGAATTATTGCAAAGGGGGTCACTCAGGCGCTTTTTCTCTAAGCTTTGAAAATTTATCATCTACATTTAGTTTGACTGGCTTTTTAGATCTTACATGTAATTATATTTTGTTGAAAAATGCTCTTTGTACACGACAGTTTGTACATATCATTGTACATGCGTACATAGACAATTTGAACGACGTTTTATGAAGAAAATGGATTTTCATTGTCTGTGTACAGATAATTGTCTGTATGCAGATAATTGTCTGTATACAGACAATTTAAATTATCTATATACACACAATTTAAATCAACACAAAAAAATTGTTTGTATTGAAATCAGTTTTCTTTATAAAACACAGATCAAATTGTCTGTACAGACAATTTGACCGGCGTGTACAATGACATGTACAATGCCGTGTACATGAAGATGGACTGTGTTTTGTTTCTCTCAAGTCTCAATAAAAAATTCAATCCAATGAAAAAAAGAGTTTAAGTCGGTGCGACCATAGTTAATGCCTAAAATAGGACTAATTGCAAACTTAATTGCACATATAGGACTATAAACAAAAGCCAAGTTTCATAAGACCAATTTCAACTTAGTTGGACAAAAATAACCCTGTTTTATTTTTTTTTGATTTTGAAAATGAAAAATAAAAAACTGTTGAAACCCTAAATTGTCAACTGCTAGCAGCAGCATGCTAGAGTCGGAGCCACCCGCTGCCGCCTGCTGCTACCCTCACTGACCCTGTCGATTGCCGCCGCCGCCGCCGACTGCCTCCATCGCCGGCCGCCGTTCTGGCCGGGCCTTGTCGCATCCTTGTCGGCGCATCGTTGCCATCCGTCGCTGCCCAAACGACGTCGCCATCCGCCTCCGCTGCCGCCATCCTATCCTCGTCATTGCCGTCGGTGTTCAATCCAGGGCCACCACTTGACCTCCGAGCACCGCAGCCGCCGTCATAGCCCAACGCTGTAAATTTGTCATTAAGTTGGCAGATTTGACCTTGAAGAGTACTTACAAATCTGCCTTGAAAATAAATTTTCAGATCTGCCATAAATTTGGCAGATTTATCTTGACCGATTTACACAAGACTACCATAATCTTGGAAAAATATGAAGTCTACAACTAAATTTTCAAAAAAAAACAAAAAAAAATTAATAGAACAATAGAACAATAACTTTAACAGGAATAAGAATTTAATGAAAAATAAAAAAAACGATTTACACAAAAAGTGTTTTGCCATAATATGATTGTCAGAGTACATCTCTACCATAAGTTTGGCAAAATCGTATATCATCATCCAAAAATATGCCATAAACTTGGCAAAATTGTATGCCATAGTCCAAAAATCTAGAAAACTAGTTTTCCTTTATAATCAAGAAATCAGGAAACAGAAATTTGAAATAGAAGTCCAAAAAATCCACAAATCGAATGTCAAAATGAAAAAACTAAGAAATCTGAAACAAAAAGTCAGAAAATACAAAACAAAACTCCTAAAATTGGCAAACGCAGTGTCAAAACCCAGGAAAACATAAGAATATGAGGAAAACTAGAAAAATCGGTGGCAAATCTCATTTAAATAGAGGAATATGAGAAGGAGGAGGGGAAGGAGGAAGAGATCGGAGAAGAGGAAGAGGAAGAAGAAGAAGAAGAAGAAGAAGAAGAAGAAGAAGAAGAGAAGGAGAAGAAGAAGAAGAAGGGAAGAAGAAGAGGAAACCTGTGATGGCGTGTGGCGAAGTCAGTAGTGACGACAGCGGCCTGAGGCGGGAGAGTCGGCGGTGGCTGCGATGCACGAAGAAGATGAGATGCCGAGAAGATGGGATGCAGTTATATCCTTTGGGGTCTGGAGAAGTAAATGGGTTCAAGGGTAAACCTGGGATGCTAATTTTCATGTTTGTAACGGTAGGAGTAAATTGGTCCTATTAAGGGAAGAAAATATATCAAGTTGTATTTTTGCATTTCACTTTTGTTTTAGTCCTATATGGGGCAATTACTTTAGTTTAATAAAGGTAAAAGCACATTCAGACATTCTCATGCACAAAGACGCTTTAATAAAAATGCATCTAATTTTAGTGTTGAACATTTCTGCATCATGCAAATTATTGAAATAAAGACTGCTTCTTCATACGATAGTATATGATAACTTTAGTTTGTCCCTAAAAAATATAGATTTGAGGCTGTACGTGCTATCTGCATTGCCGAAAGGCTATTTCTTCGAACGAGGAACATGGATTACAAGCTGCATCGCTCATAACACACCCTACTATGTGAACCAGGTATATGTGTGTGTATATATATACATAAGGAGGGTTCTTGTGAGAATCTCTCTTAAAATGAGAACTCATTTATAAATGATAACTCTTAATCTCCACCTTTGATATTTCACATCAAGGGCTAGAATGAGCAAGGTGTCATTTTTGTAATAATTTTATAATAATTACAAAAAGTACCCCGTTTGAATTTTGAATAATTACACAAAGGACCCCATGTGCATCCTACTAATGAATGAATAAAATGAAAGGTTGTGATGAAGAGTTCTCATTAAAAGGAATTCCTATTTTAAAAGGGGTTCTCACTAGAACCCTACCCTATATATATAGAGAGATAGATAAGAGATCAAATACAAATCATGCTTAAAATACTAATCTACAATCTCAATAATATGCATCACTTTCAACTTCAATATGCAGTAAAAATAATGTAAAGATGCATGAGTAGGATCACATGCAAACTAGTCCTCTCATTCAAATCATCTTTACATTATTTGTATTGCACATTGAAGTTCAAAGTGTTTGATATTATTCAAGCCATAAAATTGCAATTTCATATTTACATTATTTGTATTGCATATTGAAATTCAAAGAGTGCATCTTTACATTATTTGTACTACATATTGAAGTTCAAAGTGTTGCATATTATTGAGGGTTCCTATGAGATAAGGCTCTCAAGAGAGAAAAAAGAATATAATCTAACCATCCGATATACTTAATGGACGGTTAAGATTTGATTAAAATGCTGATGGTAATGAGAGTAATTATGTGGAATCATGAAGGGTAATTCTAATGACAAAAGCAACACAATTAATATTAAGGGCAAAGCTGTAAAATAGTGTTATGAGCAATTGAACGTGTAAATGCATTTCCTTGAATATCTCACTTGTTTTACAATTTTCAACCGATAAGCTCTAACATTCCCTAAAAGTTAGGACTAGTAATTATGAAGCATTTAATTTTTTTAACTATCACATGTGGTTTTCTAGTTGGAAGTCTCCTAATAATTAGGAGAACAATTCAATTACACTCTCATGTTTTGTTTTACGGCATGCATACTTCATTTCAATTTGATAATCAAATTACTTTTCATAAATCTATTTTAAGTTTTTTTTGCATTATTCACGTATGTCAAAATATTTACTATGTCCAAAAAATTGCATTATAATTTTGAATAAATGCATTTTATTCAAAACACTATGTATATGGATTTGCACTGCAGTATAGAACTGACGCACTTTTATTTAAAACTTTATGCAACATTGACTTAATCAAATATTTGGATGTTTTACAAATATTAATTTCAATAATTCATAAATGAAACAAATCTAAAGAGAAATGAGATTTTTATTATATTATTCTGCACTTTAATAAGCTTCACACTAATGCCATCAACTTGCACTTTCTTTAAGCCTATTATACACTATGATCTGAGCATGCATTTGATCACTTTCACACACTTTTAAACAAAAATGGTCTTAAGTAAAATGAAAATAAATATACAAAGGTGTGAATCAACAACTATCATCTGCATTTTAAATCTATAGAATAGTGCACTTTAATGTATATAAAAGTGCAAGATTATATCACATTTTCTATAGTGCACTTTAATGTATACAAAAGTGCAACATTATATCACATTTTCTAAAGTTTTAGATACACCCTTCTTATAGAATGAAATGGACTTATATCATGTGCATTTGATATACATACAAAAGTGCACTATAATAACAAATTTTCTACAATTTCACATTGACATTTTTACAAAACAAAGTGCACTTTTTCTTCCAAATGGATCACCATTGCTCTGTTGGCACTGCATCATATCTGCAAAAAAGTCAAAAAGTAAAAACTAATGAAAGTGCATGACCAAAGCATGATAAGTGCATCAAAAACTTAATTGAAAATCATCTTTATTACTATATGAAAATCAAATTGATAGCTATCATGAAAGTGTCCCATACCAAACACGTAAATGCATCACATAATAATGTAAGTGCACTAATTGTTAGTGCAAATCTAAAAACTTAATAATTAGTTTAGTGCAATTTCAACAAGTCTAAAAAGTATGCAACAATCATATGTAAATGTGCAAGAATAAACCTGTATGGTTACATCACATTTAAATTGTGTTCAAAATATCTAAACATTGTCAAATGCATAAATAAATTAACATAAACATTTAAAGAACAATGGCAGGTGCACCATAATCATGGAATGAATTTGATGAAGCAAATAAACCATTTTTTAGAATAAACTACCAATTTCGATTTTTCATCTTTATTAATATGAGCCCAACATGATCGAATATAAATTTGGAAAAAATAACACGTAGTAATTATTGACCAAGACAAGAAATTTGAGAACTCATAAAACACAACCTAAACATATCACATGAAGATGGTCCCAATTAAGAAACGATACGATACAAAGTGAGTAGCAAAAGCATTAAGGCCCGGCATAGCACCTCCGGACGCCGGATGAGAATTTCTGCCCATCTCTGGATCATCTTCAGTCATCTCTCGCAGTGGCCTGAAACCCCGATGGAGGTTGTCGATGATAAAGATAGGAATCACAAATGATGAGGCAAAGAAAGGAAATTAAATGAATATGGAAAGCAATAATGAATATAAGAGAACTCTATTATCATGTGCTAAAACGTAGGATCAGGTTTTGAAGGAAAGAATTGTGAATTACTCATATACCCTCTACAAATTAATTAATTAATGTAAATATTGTTGCAATCCAACGGGTCTAGAACATTCTTATGTCTCTCCTAAGATGAATTTCTCATTTGAACCTAAATATACATACATACATACATACATAGGATGAAGTTCTTATAATTTACACGATTAAAAAAATTGTTAACACATTTGGTTTGTTGAGCACTTATATTCGTCCATGCATCTTTTGAATTAATTAAACTTGTTTGTACGACTTATTTTTCTTGCAGACGACTTATGCTGAAGTTTTTAGAGATTGGTATACTAATGGAGGTTCTCTTCAAATAGTTGACGATTCTGACATACCAAGAAATTGTTCTTTACAAGGCATCAAACCCAATTCATGAATGGGTTCAATTTCACTATTTGATACTCCATCCGTTCCTTATAACTTTGCCAACTTTCCTTTTTTTGTTGTCTCAAAAAATTTGCCACTTTCCCTTTTAATCAATCAATTAGTGGTTCCTGTTATTTCTCTCTCCTCTGCACAAATCTCTACCACATAGTTTTTACTTTATTATTCTAGATGGAGGAATTGAAGTAAGAGTTGTATGTGCATTTCTAGACACAATATTGTGAGTTTGATTCTTTAAATTGCTTACGTGTAGTACGTACGAATCAAGCATATATTTGCCTATTTAGATTTTAGTTTTATAATATAATAGAAAAATTATCAAATAAGTCCATCTACTTTTACCAAAAAGTCAATTGAGTCCACATACTTTATATTGAATCAATTAAGTCCTCGAAGTGACAAATTTTAACCAAATCGTCCTTTCAACCGGTAATCAATTGGTTTTCCGGTTAAATCGTCCACGTGGCCTTTTTCTCACCATTTTAGTTTTATACCTTTTCTTTTAAGGTAACAACTGCGGTATCCATTTAATAAATGAGGTACCCTACCTACCACTCACTTGATTGTTTCAAAGCATTACATCATTTTTAATTTAGATTTAAATAATGTAGATTCTATGGTACCCATAAGGTACCATACCTTTGTCCACATGGACCAATGAGAATGTATCAGTTGAATTATTTAAATCTAAATTAAAAATGATAAAGTGGTGTGGTCCCATTAAATTAATGGTAGACACGGTACCCCATTTTTTAGAAAGGTACCGGAGTTGTCACCTTTAAATAATTCAACTACATCATTCTGATTGGTCAATGTGGTCAAAGGTATAGTACCTTAAGAGTACCGATCTACCATAGGAGATTTCTATGGTATCTCTTCAAATTTGGAGTGTACCATACATTTGTCTTCCTCGACCAATAGCATTTCAAGTCAATTCATTAATGCCACTATTTCATGTGCCACTATTTCCATGTGTCACTATTTCTTTTGCCTAAAGCACTATACCTTCCAAATTTTCAAAGGCACCTTATCATAGCATGACCCTTCTTTTAAGGAATTTTTTTCTCTTTTCCATACTTTTTGTCTTTCCTTGGTTCCCTGTGTGTACTGCAACTCTAGCAGTCCAGGACTTTGGACTCTATGGGGGGCTAGAGTGGCTATGCGGATAGGGGTGGCAGAGGGAGAAGCTACGGAGGTAGGGGCGCGGAGGAGAGGATGCGGTCATGCGGAGGTGGTGGCCGTGGAGGTTAGGGCGGTTGCAGGTCGCTCCAATGGCGGAGACGCAGGTGGAAGCTGTGGAGGTGGTTGTCGGGACAGCCGGGTGCCGCCTTTACGGAGGTCGGTGCAGTTGGAGGTCGCTGCAGTGGACGATACGGAGGTGGAAGCGGAGGTGGTTGTTGGAGGCGGCGGGTACGGAGTTAGAAGCGGCGAAGATGGAGGTCACGCGCGGAGAAGGTGGCTACGAAGGCGCACCGCAGAGAGGGTGATTGCGATGGTGGCCGGTTTGGAGGTGGGGCGGCAGAAATGGAGGAAATGGAAGGGACAACAGGTGGCGGTGGGGGCTGAAACAGGAATGCAGGAAGTGGAGAGTGGAGACGGAGGAATGGAACGGAGAAAGGCCGGGAGAATCAAGAAAGAGAAAAAGGGAAGAAAAAGTAAAAATAAAGGAAAAAGAAATATGAAAAATAAGAAAACCGTAAAAAATGTCACTTACACGATCATGTTGGCTATTAACGGGAAAACCGGTTATTTACCTCTTAAATGGGCGATTTGGTTATTTTTTAATATTTGGTGGACTTAATTGATCCATTGAAAAGTATGCGGACTCAATTGATTTTTTAGTAAAAGTAGATGAACTTATTTGATAGTTTTTTCTAATATAATATATGAATTTCTGAAATTTAGTACCCTAACTAGAGTTTTTGAAACTACTATATGAAAATGGACAATGTTTCAGGGTTCTTAGTACGCCTAACCTACGCGCTAGCTTCAGTGTTCTTATACGAGTATTAGATATATATACTAGTATTTCACCCGTGCGTTGCACGGTGCCAGAATGTTAGATGGGGTGTAAACACCGTTAGACATTAAATATGATTGGATATAAGTTAATTATATACATTAGATATAAGTAATATATGTAAATTATAGTAATATGTAATGTGATTATCATATAATTTGAAACATTACAAATTATGGAACACTTCCTTATAAACAACATTCGTCGTTTCATTCTTTGGGCAACCTTCTTCATTAACAATGAGAATTTTGAGACTTGCGCGATTGGTTACTCTTGAAACAGCAACATATAATTGTCCATGGCTGAAAACTGGTTTTTTCAACAAGAGACCAACGTGAGTGAGGGACTGACCTTGACTTTTATTGATGGTCATTGCATAAGAAACCATAAATGGAATTGTCTTCTTTGAAATCTAAATGGCAGCCTGACATCAGATGGGGTCCACTAGTAGAAAACTGTCTTATAGTGACACTTTTATAGTGACACTTTCTGATATAATGTTACTAGTAACACAAAAGTGTCACTATTCTCTAACACAAATACATCACCATTACTTAGCGACACTTTTTACGGAGTACAGTAACTATTTTACTAACGGGCCGACCTGCTTAATGTTATTTCAGCCCTTAGGTTTTTTCCCACTCCCCTCTCGTTTCAGATAAGTTTTCATCGGCTTATACTTCTCCCTTCTTTCCACGGCTCATCGGTCTACCTTCCCCTCTCCTCCTAGCGCACTACCGCCTCTCCTCCGCCAACCGCTGCTACTCCACCTACCGCTACTCCCGCTCTGCTATGTCACCTTCATCCTTTGCCCTCCTTCCATGTTCAGGTAAAATGATTTTAAAATATGCATCAGGTTCAATTTGTATACTTTGTCTTCAATTTCTGCATACTTTTGATCGAAGATTTAAACGGCAGAAAGCCGCAGGGTGCAATCACGAATGAAGTACAGTCCCAACTCAAACCAGAGGCAAAATAGCTGTCATGAGTCGGCCGCCACTTGATCCTCAATCCCATCCCACTCAATCCTCCATTGTTTCAACTTCCTCCGGTGCTCTCCATCCATATTTAGGTAAAAATGTTTTTAAACCAAACTTTGCTTTAAAAATTTGAATTGTTTTTTTTGTCTTCGATTTTTGTATACCTTCTATTAGTATTTGTCAATTCACTTTGAATTTTGTGTACTCATTTGATTTATTCTAATTAGATTAGATTTGAGGATGAGTTGTGATTGATTGAGTCTGGGAATAGTCTTCTACAATGAAGAGGCTAGTTGAGCTCGGGAGAAAGGCTTTATTCTACGTTAGGGATCTGTCCGGCTACGAAGAGCGAAGAATTCGGTCTTATCTGTTACAGCTTCAGCAGCGTCTTCAGCAGGTTACATATCCTTTTCGCAAGAACAATATATTTGATGAAATGTAGTTTAATTTGATTGGTCTCGATGAATAGCTGTTTTTCACAGCGTCTTTAGTAATCAGGACGGTTAAATGTTAACTTACACTAGTGACCAGGCTCAATGGCCATGGGTTTCAATGTTTGGTTGTTCTTGTATGTTTACCATATCATTCACATGGGGTTAATGTGTCTCTGTTTGGATTTCAAAAAGTTAGGAAGTGCTTTAAAGTTGTTCTCAAAGAAAATGACTTATGGTTGAGTAGAGCTTGATAGAAATTACACTTTCAAAGGGTTATACTCATAGCTTTTTAATATCTTACGAACTCTCAGCTATTCCTCTTTTCTTCCACGTTTATATGTATATATTTCACAAACAAAAATATTATTGTTAAAATATATGACACATTATTTAAGTGTTTCTTTGCCTGTATTTTCATTATGATCTTGTTTGGTCATAGGCGGAAGAGAAGAAGGGTGCAATAAGGAGAGTGCCAGAACAACTAATTTTATCAGATTAATGACTATTTCAAGCCAATTGAAAAAGAAGCTAAGATTATAATGGATATGCAGCTTGAAAGGGAGGCAACTACAATGATAGGTATGATGGCAGAAATGCACATGCAGGGTTTGCTCCAATAAATTGAAGCGGAGAAGAAAAAGCTACCCAAAATCTGGAGAAGAGCAAACATTTGCAAGAGAATGAACCCTCCACTTCTCAACCAGAAAGATGACTTTTATGTGTAAGTTGATGAGTATGTTTGCTGATTGTTCACTTAGTTTTTGGAAAATGTAACTTGCAATTTAAATTAGTGAAGTCTTATGTTATCTGACTGTTAGATCAATAAGTTGAGTGTTCTGCTAATAATATTGTTGCTGGTTTTTAATCTGTCCATTGCAAACATACATAAAGAGTAGTAGATTTCCATTGTATCAGTATGGTTCAAGAGCCATTGCATAAAGCAAATACAATGGAGATTTACTACATTTTTGTTAATTAGTGAAAGATATACTTTAGGACTGAGAAGCCCAATCAAAACAGTTCCTGTAATTCAAGGAAATTGCACATAGTTGGGCTAAGTAGTCATGTTTCAACATGATTTTTTTCTGCAGTTTCCATGTTCTAAGGTGTACTATATCATTTACAGCCAGGTATTGTTTCTGCAGTTTCCATGTTCTTTATATTGACTAAGTTTCCTTAGGCTTATAATTTTTTTGTAGGTTCATGTTCAGGAAGTCGAAGGAATTAGTCATGCCTATAAAGGTATGACAAGGTTTTCTTTGGTTGAATTGATGAACTTTAGCTCTCGGACCAGATGAATGCAATTATTTTTGTGCTTCTCTACATTCCATTTGCAATGTCATACACAGCTAGGATGCATAGAATGTTGGTATAAACTGGGTTTTATGTTCAATCCCATAAATTTTAATCTTTTAAGGCATTTAGTTTGGTAGGGTGCAGTTACATATAATGAAATGTTATCAAATCAGTATGTTTTTTATTGCTAGTTTGCCTTTTACACTATTAGGCACTACTAGACCAGACCTTCATTTTTTATTGACAGTGTATTGCGATTATTGATTACATAATTGAGTTGTTATAACCATATTAGTTTATCTTTTTCGATATCACACAGGTTTCATATATTGGCAACTAATTCGTTTTCTTTTTTTTTGTTTTATTTTTGCCTAGCCAACAATTTTTCTGCCTTGAAGAGTCATGGCAGTTGTCTCTTTGCTTTAAGAGATAACAGAAAACACGGGGTGATTGGCTTGCTTCAGGTCTAGTGATGGTGATTTGTAAGAAGACGATTTAATTAAATTTGT